CATAATGTATAGACTGGGTCTAGGGATTACAGAGTAGGTAGAGGCAGTTGTCCTATAAAATTTCAAATTATCATATATTTTAAATATTTTCTATTGAAAATCTACTTTCCACCCAAAAATTTTATAAATTCATCCTTTAAAATTTTAGAAGCCCGTTCATCGTTAACATGAAATCATGTGTAAGAACAAGTCAACTAAAATAATTTGTTGAACACTAGTGACAAAAAGATGATTTGATATCAATCTACGACACAGGCAAAAGGCGTATATCTATTAGAGTACCAATATCTAAAACAATCTGGTTCAATTCATGTAAAAGAATTGCATGAAAACCAAAAAACAAAAGTTCAACAAAGATTGCTGCTTGAGAGACGTGAGAGAAACTTTACCCAACCAAACCTCAAGCCTATGAAAAATAGAAAGAAAAGCAAGGAATTACGACAGAACAATCAATCCTCATTACGGATGAACATGTGATGTCAGTCTCAACCTACCTTGTTAGCTATGTTGTTGGACAGCCAATCCAATCCCTCGTATAGCCCTTCACCAGAAGTGGCACATGTACTCTGGATATACCTGTGAGGGCCACAACAATGACTGGTTGGTTACATTCTCTCAGAAAAAAATGTTTTTATAAGTAATTATCTGTACATAAGAAACAGGGAAAAACTTAATATAATCAACTATAAACTACCAATGGCGCTGTCGGAGGGATGAAGGCCAAGCTTATCAGTGATATCAGCAGCATTCATAGCATTTTGAAGATCTTGCTTGTTTGCAAATACAAGCAGCACAGCATCCCTCAGCTCATCCTACACATGAGAAGAAACAAGATGATGAAAAAGTAAATAAATGTGTGTATATACATCGAGAAACTGTAACAAAGAATGGCAATTCCGAACGTAACTTCGGCCTGGGCTCTTATAAAGTTATTGGTACCTCATTTAGCATACGATGAAGCTCGTCCCTAGCCTCAACCACACGATCACGATCATTGCTATCAACAACAAAGATTAGGCCCTGTGTGTTTTGGAAATAATGCCTCCACAAAGGTCGAATCTGAAACCATCCATAAAAAGCTATCAGAAAATTACATGCTAATGGAGAACATTTAGTTAGTACAAGACCAGTCAGAAGCACTAAAGCTCATTATCTGCAACTATACTGTACTGGGTAAACCTAATAGGATATTAATATTCATAAGAGTTTAGCACTTCAGTTAACAGTCAGCTACAGCATTGATTAAAAGAGAGAAAAGAAAAGAAAAACAGAGATTGCTTACTAATTTATTCATGAGAAAGGAAACTTAAAACCATTTCCTAATATACTTTGTAAATCAAAATATAATAAGATTCTTTGTATGTGCTGATGTGGGAAACGCCAATCAGATAGCACAAAAGCAACTAATAAATAAAGCTACTACGTAAATATGCCATCTAGATAAATAAACAACTACTATGGAAACATACTATCTAACAAGTTGCCTCTAGGGGTTTGTACCTAAGCCAAGCTGACATCAATCTGTAAGAAGCTCAAGCTGAACTCGAAATCAAGGTTCAAATCTAGCCTCGAACTTGATTAAGTTTCACTTTTAAAGACTGAGCTTGATTCAAGATAAAAATCAAACTGCTCAATGTCACTTGTTTAAGTTCTTTACCTAGTGAAGGCTGAGTTTGATTTTCATGCTTGAACCCAAGCTTGATCTTTTTTGTTCTCTTTTATTAGCTTGAGTTTCAGTTCATCTTTTTATAGCTGAACACGAATAACTTGCAAGCACAAATGTCTAGTTTACATTCCTATTTGTCAAAGAATGAATAGCCCTCCTCTCTTAGCGAAGAGGAAAACAAATACATAAGTTGGAAGTACATGTAGCTTATGAATAAGTTGCTGATGGGCAGCCCTTCCTCAAACAATCAACGGAAAGATTTGAAAGACAAGGTGACATTAGTAGATATAGCATGATTATGTTGCATGTCAATGATGGAATATGTCAACAGCATAAACCGTCCAAGCACATCTAACAGTCGCAACATCAACGTTACAATTGAATAACATGACAAATTGTAACATTTCCAGTTTCCGGCAAGCAGCAAGGCCAAGGAAATCAGTCTAATGGTAAAACTCTAAATATTGATGGGTATTTTTAACCAAAAATATTGATGCTTTGTTCCAAAACAAAAAGTTCCTGTTGTATTATTGCCTTGTCCTGACCACCAACATCCCAAACAGTGAAGCTAATGTTCTTATATTCCACAGTCTCCACATTAAACCCAGTGTGATACAGCAATAAGAACCACCATTGCCGATCAAGTAATTAAAATATTTGATTAACAAATCAAAGGGCATACCAATGGTGGGAATGGTAGTAACAATCTCTCCGAGCTTGAGTTTGTATAAGATGGTAGTCTTCCCAGCAGCGTCAAGACCAACCATAAGAATTCGCATCTCTTTCTTAGCGAACAGCCGACTGAACAGCTTAGCAAAAGACAGCCCCATCCCTTTATCTTTGTTGAGATCCAAAAAACAAGATACGGTTCAATCCCAATGTTTTACATCCAATTAAAAGCCTTACGAAGAAACAAATTACAGTTGGTACTATATAGTCCACATAAATAAGAAATTCACTAGTTTTCATTTCAGATATATGCATGCCAATTTTTCTAAACCAAAGTGATGAAGAACATTATAAATAATTAATTTCTGTTATGAGAAGCTACTAATTCGATGTAGACAAGCAGGTCTAAATCAGCTAGAATATATATTGAAAGTATAATCGGAATGAAAACTAATACTAGTTGTGTATGTCATAGCAAGAAGATCCAAGAGAAGATATTAGCAGTTCTAAGAAAACCAAGATCCAGATTTAGATCGGAGATCAAATAGTGAAAGCTCCATCAGCCCGAATCAACCGGAAAAACTTTCACTTACACACAGAAATTAAAACAAAAGATTAGTGATAAGAAGAAACAATGCAGAAGCAGAATGCAATAGAGAGAAATTCATACATTGGTGAAATTTTGAGAGAACTGAGATTCAAAAAGGAAGAGCAACGCTATTTATTTTACAATTTATATTTTACATTTTAGATCATTCTTAGGTAATTACTACGGTGAGAACTTTGGGTTTGGGAATCAAATGTAGGACAGCCGTTGGATTAGAAGTTATTTATATTTTTTTATTCTTTTATTTTTTTCTAATTTTAATTTTTTTTGAGTTTTCTATATTTTAATTATATTTATAACAATTACTTTAATATATTTTTATAAGAATTATTAATTACATTTATTTTTATATTAAAAATATTTTAATTTATGTTATATTTAGAGGTGGCAATCGGGCTATTCGGATAGGGTTTAGGTTGGGTCATTTCGGACCGGGTCATTTCAAGTCTATAATATTTCGATCTAGATTCAGTTTGGATCGGATTTGGTTCGAGTTTAGTTTTAGTATATGAAAATTCAATTCGGATTAGGTATCGGGTCGGGTCAAAATCGGATCGGATGGTTTTTAGATCGGGTTAATATAGAATTGGTTGGCTTCGGGTCTAGTTAAAATCGGATAAGTTGATTCTCGTTCAGGTCAACCATTAGATTTTCAAATCAATTTACATTGGTTTCAATTTGGGTCAACCTTTAGATTTTCTGATCAATCGTTATTGTTTTTTGTCGTCATAACTTTCGGTGTTGTTTTTTATTAGTTATAATTCAATAATTTTATGCAAATATATATTGTCATATCTCAAATTCAGAACTAAAATTTTTAGTTATAATCAATTGAATCGATAAATATTTAAAATAAAAAATTTTATGTTAATATAAACTGTCACAATCCAAATTCAGAACTATAAATTATTTAATCAGATACAGAGACGACCTTTTAACCGAAGAAAAATTATATTAGACCATTAAACTAAAGCATTTCAATGTAAAAAGGTATCGTGAAGTTACAATTACGTGCAAAAGATCAATATACCCCCTTTAATGAATGCAGTAAATAAATAATATAAAATATCATGTAACCCACAATTATACGTAATGTTTTTTATACAAAAACCTAGTCATATTAGAGAGGTATCACACCCCCAAATCTAATTATTTGTTATCTTCAAGCAATATATCTACTTATCAGCCTCTTGTCTTAACAGTTCATTACATATTTAGTTCAACAATGATCAATATTTCTTATACATACATATACAATACTGGATACATATCGAAGTGCGAATAATATTCAATTAAATGCAAAGAAAATTATACAGAAACAAATCATTGAATTGGATCAAAATTAATTATTATGATACACACACGAATCAATTGATACATATTATTCAACAATGTTCAACTACGTAAGGCTGGAAATTATCAATATCATTTCAATTGTATCCTTTCATCAATCTAACCATCTATTTGAGCATTAAGTGTATATTCAGACATGAAAAGGAGTAAATTTTTTTAAAAAAAAACCTTAAACTCATATGTACATGTTATATGAATAATTTAGATTTAACATGTGAGAAAATAAGCCATGTCACTAAAATTAAACAGAGATATTTCTTTTTTTTATTGTAATATATGATTTAAGTATTTTTAATCATTTGACAATAAATTTATAAATATCTTATGATTATGGTACTCGAATTTGAAACTTTTAATGATAACAAACATCCTTTTAATCAATGAAGTAGCTTAATTCGTACTTAATAGAGATATCTCTTTTTTTAATACATCTTATCCAGATTTACATAGGAAGGACATAATATTTAAAATTTGATCTACATATTTTAATTATGATCTTCGTTATATCTAAGTTGACATGAAAGGACCTGAGAAAGAACTTAATTAAAATATTTTAAAATTTAAAGACTAACTTAAAATCTAATTTATATTTTGGGGAACATCCAGTGCAATTAACTCAAATAAACAAATGTAATACCCAAGGATAAAGTTGGAATATCAACCCAGCCCTCTTCTTGATTGCCGATAGAAAACACACCTGCTTCTAAAACCCTAAAACCCTTTTGCCCTTACCGCCCACTAGAAAGAAGAAGAAGAAAAAGAGAGGGGAAGGCCGAGCATAAAAAAGCCGGCGGTTATTTTCCGCCATCCTCGAGTTCCTCAAGGAACAAGCTCGCCGCTACTAAAAGGTTTCAACTTTTCTTCTGATTTTAATTTTAACCCAAGTTCATTCAAAAAGAAAAAAAAATCAGAGTGAAGTTATTTCAATTTTGATTGTCAGCAGTTTATATATACTGGGTATTTGCTGAAATGGGAGAAAAGGGCAAAAAGAGTAAAACAATGTCTAAATCTCAGAGTGCTGCTAAAGAACACAAAGATCAGCTTGAAAGGCTCCAGAAAAAGGTTTCTTTCTTTGTTTATATGGTTGTGTGTGTGTGTGTGTATTTATCAGTTCATTGTGGATATATAAACACACACGAGCGTATGTTTTTTTTTTTTTTGGTTTTTGTAGGATCCAGAATTCTACCAGTACTTGCAAGAACATGGCAAAGACCTTCTTACGTTTGATGAGGAAGATATTGATGTAAGTTAGGCAAAATTTGTTCATGTTAATATTGTTACAAAGGGCTTGCATTGCATAAAACAACGTGTAATTTTACCTGCTTCAATCTTATCCGTGTAGGATGATGATGAAGGTGTTGATGTTTACATGGAAGATGGAGAAAACCAGCTGGGTGATGAGACCCATATGCATGATATTCCCGAGGAAGAGGAGAAACCGTCTAAAAATGTTTTAACTACTGAAATGGTTAATTCTTGGTGTAAGTCTATCCGAGAGGATGAAAAACTGAGTGCAGTTCATTCTCTTATGAAAGCTTTCAGGACTGCTTGTCACTACGGTGATGATACTGGGACCGACTCTTCAGCAAAGTTTACCGCCATGTCAAGCAGTGTATTTAACAAAATAATGTTGTTTACTCTATCTGAAATGGATAGAGTTCTCCGAAAGTTGTTGAAACTTCCTGCTTCTGGTGGAAAGAGAGAGACCATAAATGAACTAATGAACACAAAACAATGGAAGAACTACAACCACTTAGTGAAATCATACCTTGGAAATGCACTACATGTTTTGAACCAAATGACAGACACGACAATGATATCATTCACTTTAAGGCGTCTGCAGTATTCTTCTGTATTTTTGGCAGCGTTTCCAAGCCTTCTGAGGAAATACATCAAGGTATGTAGTATGGGCAAAGTTGAATGTGATTTTCTTCAAATTTGATGATTGCTTTGCTGTTACTATTTGTTTTATGGTCTGGTTGTGGAATGGTTGTCTTTAACAAGCAACAATAGCAATCAGTGTAGACTGTAGACCCCTTTTGTACTTTGTTATTCATTTGAGTTTGTGATATTCATATATTTCTATGATAATTTAAGGTTTAATCTATTCCTCTGCAGAGGATAGTGTTTTAAATGTTTATGGAATAGTCATATATCTTCCTGTTTTTAATTTATTCATTCTTTTCCAGGTAGCACTTCACTTTTGGGGTACAGGAAGTGATGCTCTCCCTGGTGTCTCCTTCCTATTTCTTAGAGATCTATGTATTCGCCTGGGATCAGATTGTTTAGATGAATGTTTCAGAGGGATATACAAAGCCTATGTTTTGAACTGCCACTTCGTTAATGCAGCTAAATTACAGCAAATCCAATTTCTTGCCAATTGTGTCATAGAACTTGTTCGAGTGGACCTTCCAACCGCATATCAACACGCATTTGTCTTTATCAGACAATTAGCAATGCTTCTGCGGGATGCACTCAATATGAAAACCAAGGTATCGTCCACACTTTTTTTCTTTGAAAAGTTTTTCTGTAATCATCCACTTGCTCATGTAAATCAGAATGCCCTTCTTAGTTGAAGACTATATTCAACCATTTTCTTTTGCAATCTTTTGGTGTTTGTTCCTTTCTTATTTTCACTAAACAATGCTCCTTGTCCCACCATTCTTCTCAGGAAGTATTCAGGAAGGTTTATGAATGGAAGTTCATTAACTGTCTTGAACTTTGGACTGGAGCTATCTGTACCTTCAGCACAGAAGCTGATTTCAGGCCACTTGCTTATCCGTTGACCCAAATTATATATGGGGTTGCCCGTCTAGTTCCAACTGCTCGATATTTTCCGCTCAGATTGAGGTGTGTTAGAATGCTCAACCGCATTTCTGCATCTACTGGTACCTTTATTCCTGTTTCTATGCTTCTTTTGGACATGCTGGAGATGAAAGAGTTAAACAGACCTCCCACTGGCGGTGTTGGCAAAGCTGTTGATTTACGTACGACACTGAAGGTATTTTTGAAATGTGTTGTTTCACTTCAATTGATATAAGCTTTTTGTTCCTATGTAACTTCGGACAATTTTCTATTCCAGGCCAGCAAGCCCATTCTAAAGACACGGGCCTTCCAGGAGGCGTGCGTGATTTCTGTGGTTGAAGAACTCGCTGAACATTTAGCTCAACGGTGCTATTCTGCTGCTTTCTTTGAATTGTCTTTTATTCCAGCTGTTAGGCTACGTTCCTTCTGCAAATCTACTAAAGTTGACAGATTCAGAAAAGAAATGAGGCATCTTATTCGTAAGGTATATCCCTTGGATTGATTATCGTATCCTGCTCTATGTGCTTGATATGTTGCAAAATTGGATTGGTGGAAGAACAATCCCTTGTTAAGTTTATTTACTTGCTATTTGTAAGCATGCTCCCTTTTGCATGTTGCAAACTTTCGGCTGCACACTATTGATTGTTTGATGTCACTTCAGATTGAGGCAAATACTGAGTTTACTAATGAAAGGCGTGCATCGGTTACATTTCTACCGAATGATAATGCAGCAACTTCTTTTCTTGAGGTCAGTAAAGTTATTATTTTTTTAGAATTTCATTGTATCCTCTCGCTGTTGTCGTGTTTGAGCATATCAGCTGCTTAAATTTGTTCGTGTCGCTTTATTTTGTTTTGCTGTCAGATGAAATTACTAAGCTTTCTTGTTGCTCATAGGATGAGAAAAAGATGGGGACTAGTCCTCTCTCTCAATATGTTATAACTCTGCGTCAAAGAGCGCAACAGAGAAATGATTCAATGATGAAATCCAGGTCTATGATCTTGCTTTGTGATTAGTTCCATCCTGTCTATATTATAATTGTGTTAAGACAGCTAGTTTAAGTAGCATGCATGTAATTTTCAGTGTTGTTGTGGGTGAGAACTCTTCTGTCTTCGGGAGAAAGCTTGATCAGATCCCTGATAGCGATGAAGAAGATGATACAAGGAACGAGGATGGTGCTTCTGTTTTCAGTTCCTCCTGGTTACCTAGAGGCAATTCCAGGTATGATTTGTCGTGTCGTCTTTTCCATCTCGCTTGCATGCATAATGGGGATGTACATGTGCAAAGAAATATACACATGTAAATGAATTTTGCTGTCTATAAACTTTTGGATTGCGAAAAAAGCAATTACTATACCACCATCTTCCATTTTCTGTCAGGGCCGATCTTTCAAAGGAGGAAAAGAAGAAAAAGAAGAAGAAAGGGATGGAACAAGAGGAAGGGATTGGTGATGATGATGAGGATATTGTGCAAGACTTGGTACTTAGTTCGGATGAGGATGAAGATGTCTTGTCTGAATCTGATAATACTTTTGGGGAAGATGGAAAGGGAGAGCAACTAGGTGGCAGCAGACAGCAGAGTAAGAAGCAAAACCCCAAGAATTTATCAAAGAAGAATGTAAGATCTCGTCGTCATGAAAAAAATAATAAATCAAGCAAGAGAAAAAGAGCCAGCTAGTGGACCATCAGCTGGAGCTGCTCTTTTTAGAGCTATTGATAGTGGATTATCAATTTATTTGAGATTTTGTTGTCTGTCAGGGAGGCCATATAATACAATCCTACTGAGCTTTTATATTATATATAAAATATTGGCCAACTTGGTTTATCTGAAGCGAAGCAAGGCAAAGCTTGATAATGAACTAGTTGAAGAAGCTTGAGTTTTGGGGCTTTGCCTTAAATTTTATAATTTTTTAGTACGGTACTTGTGCTCCCCCCCCCCCAACCCACCCTCTCTTTAGCATACTACCTAGATTAGACAAATATTTCATGTTTGGGTAGTGTAGATGTTATAATTTCAAAATATCATATATATGATGTGATATTTTTTTTGTTATGTGGTATATTTTCATTAAGATTACAAATATTATATATTTTCTATTATAAAATCAATGTACAATGATATATTAAATAATACGTTTATTATAAAAGTGGTCAAATTAAATTAATGTTATAGATGTTATCATTTTAAATACCCGAGCAGTAATTGTCTTTAAAAAATTTTGTTAAGTAACACATAGCATGTTCTCAATTGAAAAAAAAAATGTGTGCACCTAAAATAGTAACATTTATAACATTAGATAGCTGAATTGATCCAAAAAAATTTAGACACCTATTTGAGAAAAACAATATAATTTGAATATTAGGCCTAAATAATATTAAATTGTATAATGTTTATCAAATTTAAATATGATTAAATAATTTTTTTAAGCTTAGTACACTAAAATATTAATGTTAAATTTAAATACTACATTGCATATATATATATATAGCAATAAGAAAGATGTCAAGAGTTTAGGCAGATGAACTTGATGATCATGTAACTATAATAATAACTTAGTATGACTTTTTGCTTTAAATTATTAATGTCATTATTATTTCAGGTCGAACTCTACTGGAGTGTAGTGTCTATAATTGGACCGAGGAAAACTCAAAATACTTACAAGCATAGATATCTTATTTCCGACAGGACATGAAATATTAGTTCCCAATTTATTTCTTAGAGAAAAGGAAGAAAACTTGTCCAGTTGCGCTTTGACACTCTTCCCTCGTTAATATTTTACAACATACCTGAATTCAATGGTTCATGATCACCATAATGGTAGCATTGGTCACGGCATAACATTAACATGCATGCTTTTATTAAAGTCCATCGCCATGCATCCACATCGCGTGCAGGGAGATAAACCATGCATCCATCGATGATCGAGTTTAGGACCAACTTGTTCCCAACCTGGTATATGAACAAAGCATATCCAGCAGTTTTTACCTTCCCTTTCCAAACCGGAAAACCGTACAAATCGGTCAATATCCAAAAACTTGAATACCTAAAGTCATGTCATATAAAAACACAATGTAATGTTACATAAACAAATGTGATCATTTTTTTGATGATCCGAAACCGCCAAAGCCCATCATAGCTGCCACGTCGGGATCAATTTCAGGTTCCTCTTCTGCTGCCTTCTTCTGAAAGCCAGATAAATTAACAATCAATCATTACTTTGACAAGTACATGAAATTCTTACCATAAAGAAATTAATTATAGGGCTCTAGGGAACAACTTTGAGCTGAATTTTTTTTTTGCAAGCTTACTAATGAACATTCCAATACAAAAAGCAATAAGCTAATGGAAAAAACGAAAACCAGGTATTTATCAAATCCAAGTACTGACCTTTTCTTTCTTTCTTTCCCTCCGTTGGCGCTTTCTCTCTTCCTCTTCTTCCTGCTGTTTAATGATCCGTTCATCGAGATCTATAAAAAAGGAAGATGGAGCAGACACATCAATCATCTTGAAATCAGCTATAATCAAATTCCAACTAGTTGGGAACAGAGACAAAAATTACCTTGCTCAGAGAAACTACCGGGAGGTTTTCGCTTTTTCAATTGTTCAAACCGCTCCTGAACCTGCATGCAGAAAGCATGTAAATTGACTAAGTGCAACTGCTTTTCTTTTGGCTCTACAATTTATAATCCGCAGATTTTATTTTTGACAATCTCCAAATATATGCGTCTTTTCCTGCATGGTCTTTGTTTTAGAAAAAGGACCTTTTCCTCTATTTTGAGATTGAATAGAAGCTCGGTGCTCCAATCGCTCAGCATTTCGCTACTAAAATAGTAGTACTCTTACTGTGGTCACTGGTCATTCCCAAGGAAGTACATATCTAATAAATTGCAGTTTATATACCTTACTAATCTATATCTAATAGTAAGAATAAACAGCATTTGTTGGATAACAAGGTTCTAATTTTCAACAAATTGAACAAATTAAGTGTTTAAAAAAGCAAATTAAAACTCTCCAACTGAGTACCTGTTTAAGGGATGCCCGTTCCACTCGCATGGACATACCTAAAGCTCTTTGATCTGAGAAAGCACCACAAGCAATCAAATTAGTGTATGTCTATAAATGTCAACACACATCCATAAGACGATAAACAAAGAATCTCTAGAATATCACATACGTTTCTTCCCATTGATGTGATCCAAGTAGTTTGCAGAATCTTTTACTACACACTCACAAACTGAGCAAAAGTATCCTGCCTGCAAAAATCCAATTTAATCAACACATGAATTTTACAAACACTTGCTATTTCTGCCATTAGTTCCAAAAGTAACCAAATCAGACATTAATTGATGGAGAACTACACACCCTGCTATCAAAATATTAATTTCTATAGCAATGCAAACATAGAAGCGTTTCTTTAGCACCCTCATAAAGCATTAGATAGGTAATATAGTAAAAGAGTAACACATCCAGAAAGTCGAAACCAAGCCAATTTATTCACATGACTTTGGTCTTAAAGTAATAGAGTTCCACAGAGCCAATAAAATTCTGATTATGGATAACCAAAATACTTCAGATCAAAAAACTGTGTTATCTATGGGTCAAATGAATCAATGGACGTTAACCAGCTTCTAGAAATGCAATTTGCAATCAATAAGAACATCAAACACCCAAAAAATTAAGTACTAATGTAAATCCAAATGACGAAGAAAATGATAAGAAATTACCTGCTGACTTAAGGGTGCTACTGGAGTAACAACCTGCAGAATGTAGATAACTAAATAACATGGGTAACATAAACGTGAATTACGAATGAAGACTAAGTTCAAGCAATTGTAATAACCTGAGTTTTACCCAAACGAGACTCGAGATCGACTTCGTAATCCCTATGCTTCAGGGGTTTCCTCTGCACTGCAGGGCCTTTTGCTGCATATATAGATATGTTCAATTTTCACCATGCAAATTATATTTCTTAAATTAGAACATAAATGTTAACAGTTAAGAAGCTAATCAGAAATTTAAAAAAATATATATGAATAAAATAATCACATTGGGATTTACTTCGCCCTTCTGCTTCCTGATTCAAAATCAAAATTAAGAAAGAAAATCAGAAAAATAAATTGATTAAGCCTTCAATTAAAAAAAAAGAAAAGAAAAAAGAGGAGAGATATTGATAATAAACCTGTTTCTCACGCTCGCGAGCGCGTTCCAAATACTCTTCTCGATCGAATTTCTTTCTGAAGGTGTTATCAACACCAAGAGCCTGTAGAAGACATAGTAAAAAAAGTAAATACCATAGCTAAAAAATTGAAATTTGAAGTAGGAGAAAAAAGAACAAATTTTGAGAGAAAAAATGTTCTTACATTATTGCTGGAAGCCATTGATTTTGATCACTTTACAGAAGAACTAATTGACTAAGCTAAATTCAATATTGTTTTGGGGGGGGGAGGATTCGAAACCCTAACAAGTTTAATTTTAATTTAATAGCTCCATAACTCGAGTCCAGAAAGGGCTGAAGAGAGAGAATTTGATATTTAAATCTGATTTTATAATTTAAATTGCTTTAAATAAATTGGTAAAGTACACCAATGGTCCGTAAATTGTGTCGAAAAGATGTTTTGGGTACTGATATTTTATAAATTATAAAATAGTCATTAAATTTCATGTAAGATGATCATTAAACTAATGGAACTATTTGGTTAAAGGTAATAGTAAAAGAACGAATACATATAATGAACATGAATTGTGACTAATAGATGATTATTGAGAGAAATGCATCAAATTATCTATGATGTGTCTATAGCCCCTAGACGTGACCAAAATGTTACAACTGAATCTCAGAGATCATATTAATATGAGTTCATAAAATCATCATCTCTTTTTTATATACAAAAATATCAAACAATAAATTATTAACGATTATAGTTGTTAGAGTATGCCCAAAGATCATTCATGAGATGAATGTAATAATGTGCTCATTTTATCTTATTTATTAATATAAGATATTGTCACTAATGTATAATTGATTGGTGACAAAGTGTTCTCATTGACATAGAGACATCAAAATCATTATATGAGTATGGGTTAGAGAACAAAATATTAGACTGGCTCGCTTTGTGTATATTTCTGATATTATTATGTATATGATCCTCAAACTTGAGATGTCACATCTCGATTTTGAAGTAAATAGTTTTCAGAATCTATTTGCCTTTTTTAAAAATAAAAATAAAAATTCAAACTCAAGTGTACCAAGTGGAATGTAATGCAAAGTTAATGGGATTTATTGGAATTTAAATTAAGTTATGGGAGCAAAAATAATTAAGTATTAGATTATGTAAGGACGAAATTGGTTAATGAAAAAAATTGTGGATTATTTAGAAAGAACAAGGATTGTTTTGTACTCGGGTTAAAGGTTGAGTTTTAATATAAGAACCTTATGATTCTTATGAGACTTATCTTGTGAATTTCCTATTTTGGGTCATAGCAGAAAAATGAAAGTGTGAAAAGGGAAAAACTACATGTAAAAGCCCTGGAAATCATGCCCAAGTGCTCATATGCCCTTTGTCGATTGTGCTAAGCTCATTTTGACGACATGATCGTTTCTAAAATAATTTTGAGATTTTTGTAGTTGGTTTATTTTGACCTAGTGTATAAATACCCTAGTATCAACTTAGTTGCCTTGATTCTTTTTAATTTTTCTTTTTGGTCGTCAAGCTTAAGGGTGAACTTTTCTTAAATTTCATTACTGACGAGTACTTCATCGGACAATCGACGTTGCCATGAACCAAGGGCGCGTGCACTAAGCCCAGTAAGGGTCAAGTGCATCCCATTATTTTAAGAAAATGAATAAATTTAACTTAATGTGTTGAGGGGAAACAATAAAAATAAAAAATTTACATATTCATTATTTTTAAAAAAAGAAAATTAAAATTTTGGACTTTCATTTTTAAATTTTTAGATCTGCCATTGTCATGGACCACACTGTCACCTTAGTTGCACTTCTCTTGCTTTCCCAATCAAAACTCTGGTAAGGGTTTCTTTATTTGTTGCTTCGTTCTTCGGGGGAAAAAGTAAAGGGTCATCAACCCAGGGCCCATAATATTCAGTCGGCTCAACATATATGTTTTTGGCCTAGAAAATTTCAATCAATGCGTAATTTTCTCACTGAAAATTGTATACATCAATCCATTTAATCAACATATAGACGACGTATATCTTTTATTTCATTTAAACTGGTCAGATGATTTTGTTTAAACATATAATCTGATAAATTTATTTGTAATATGGGAATCACCCATGTGATCCAATGGAAAAACATTTGGCAGCAAATCACCATGAAAAAGAAAAGGTATAATGTCAAATAAGTCTCTAACATTTGATTAAATAATTATTTTAATCCTTTTTTGAATCATTTTAATTCAACGTTTTTTAAGATAAAAACCTCTGAGATTTGACTAAATAGCCACTTGATTATTTTTAATATTTTGGTACCTACTGTTTCATTTTAGAAATAAAATATGTATTTTAGAGCGTTGATAATTTGTTGACTAACGGTTTTCATATATGGAGGGATTTTTTTTACTCCAAAATAAACTATTGGATTAAGAAATGCTTAAACATGATGTTTAATTTAATAAATGCTTTTCCACGAGATAATATTTTTACACTAAAATCAATGATTCAACATTAAGAAATGCTAGAAGGCAATGCTTTTATAAGTATTTGTATACTTAAATATATTTTTGACATTGTATTATTGTTTGTTTAATTTAATAAAAAATTCTAATATAAATTTTATATTACATATTTTATTTTATTTTTGAATTAAGGGCTTATTTTTTTATTTTGACTCGACCCAAAAAATAGTCAAGACTGACCATGCGAGTTCATTTTCTGAAATGAAAGTGTTTTTCTAAGTTAAAGATTATTTTTTTCTCATAAGTTAGAGATTATTTTTTTCTCATAATAAATTAAGAGAAGCTTTTCTAAGTTGAAATTGTTGAAAAATTACTTGAGGTTAACAATGTTACAAGAAAGATTGAATGAGCTACCTATGTTATGTAATGAAAAAAATATGTTGAAAAATATTTATGTTGACGCTATGACTTTGTATCAAAAAATGTTCGAAGACAATGTTTTATATAAATTTTTGTGAGCTTTAATATTTTTTTTGACATTTTTGAGATGATAATTAATTACTATTTGTTTATTTTAATAAAAAATTTAATATCAATTTTATACTATATATTTTTAATTTTTTAAAATTAAAGGTTCATTTATTTTATTTCGCCCCGGGGTAAAAATAAAATACTCAGAGCTAACCTTGCGTCTGCTCATGATATGATCGGTCAACCACCGTCGATGAGATAGGTAACTCCCTGTTCCACTTAGGGTGAAACCCTAATCCAATTGTTATTGAGTTCAAGTCATCTTGACTTTGAGCAATTATAGCCCATTATGCAAGTCTACCCAACCTTACAATGAGTCCTGACCTGTTTGTATAGGGCCCAAGGCTTGCTAGGAGCCCAACCAGTCATAGGCCATTTATAAGCTCGAGCCCAGATCCGATTCGACCCAACTCTGATCTGATGTATTCTAAAATCGTACCCAACTCGAGGTTCAAATCGTCTAACCAAATTCGAGAATTGACGTATATTTGACCTAGTTTAACTTGTTAACCCTATTGATCCATTAACTTTGATCGACCCAACCGTAGACTTTAACTTTACCTAGTGACTTGAATTTGACTGGTTGACTGTTGACATTTTCTCATTGACTTTGACTTTTGAACAAAGTTAATTTTTTGTTGACCTTTGGTTGTATTTTGATGTGTTAAGTATGTTTTTGTTATTTATTTCACCACGTTTTGATCTGAAAGTCCCATTTTACATCTCGTGTTGCTTTAAATTTAATTTATGATAGGAATATTCCGTAATTAAAGGACTTAGTCATTGACTTTATATTATAAAATTGATCACATATCTCTGCATAAGAAGACTCTCATTTACGCTAGCTTGAGTTTGTACATTTGACATTAGTTATGTATGAGTATTGTTAATTAAATTAGTGGTTTCGTACGTTAAGTATCATGTTTTGGTGTAGAGTTATATGTTATCGTAGGTTCCACATCGCATGATCTAGTACCACCGACTTGGAAAGCATATTTTTTTTATCCAATAATGTTTAATTGGTAGATGTGTGTTCCTCGATTAGTGCTACACAACATCCTTACAAAAGCACTATAAACTCTATGATATGTCAATTATATTCAAGTCTCGACTAAATGACGATTAAATGACCAAGCGTTTGATTTATCACAATTCAAAAGTTCATTTCTTATCCATTTCATGATAGGCTATCATAAAGTTCATATAATCACAATGGAAGAGCAATTAGCTCATTATAGTCCAAATCCACAACACGAACTTCAATTTTACATAATACATCATCATTTCAAAATCAGAGCATAACATATTTCAACTTAACATAACACCAAAACTTATTAAATCATCAAAATTGTTATTTGAAGTGTTGTAAATGAGCCAAAGCCTAAAGTTAACCTCAAATAAACAAACCAACTTATAAATTAAAAACCGAAAAAAATATTCACAACCAGAAAGACTCGATTATAATTATACTCACTTAATCCGAACTTTCGAGACATCTCAAATCAATAGAGTAGTTGCAGATTTTAGCTTTTCCTCTAGCTTTAGAGAATTCCACCAAAACCTATTTCTCTAGCAAAATCAAAACATATATCCAAAGGAATATTCATAATCTAAATCATATTTACACAAACTCTAATTTTCATAAATCCCTAAATGAGTTTAGGGAATTTGAGGTTTCTTTCTCCTAAAATTTAAGATATTTCTTCAATGATGACTTAGAGAATTAAAGAATATGACCATTTAGTCTCCTCTTTCCAACCAAACCCCCCTTCGATTGGTTTTCTCAATTCTAAATTTATTTCCTTTGAAAGTATCTCATTTACTAATATTAAGACATTAGGCATTTAGGATTAAATTATAAGAAGACGACATTTATTGTTCTCAATCATCAATATACACTAACTTGAGTCAATAGTCTAATTACACCCATGATCCTTTCATTTTTTCCATTGTTTTCTCTTTTTATAATTTAGTCCTCAATCGAAAACCGAACCAAATTAAATTTCAATCAAACTAATTTATCTCTATTAAAAACACATTCAAAGGCTTGAAACAATCAAAAAGCCTTCAGAAATTATTTTCCGATCATCGGGCGTCGAAAAACTTTCGAATTATTTTTCGGGATGTAACCTCCTCTACAAGAGAGAATGAGTCTTCCTATATACCTTGTGTCCTTGAGATGGATGACTGATTCGGCCAACACAATAACTGAAAGAGAAAACAAGTTCTTCATCAACAGAATAAATATGTTCATATCTTCTGGAAAATGAAAAGTATAGGTCATGCAAAGTTGGACAAATGAATCAAAACGATTCGTGCATTATACTCTGCAATGG